ATTGACTTTTGATTAATATTTTTTTCCTTAAACTTCTCCTTTTCTATCATTTGCAAGATACCACATTTGTGAGTATGTTAAATATATATATATATATATTTGTGAGTATGTTAAATATATATATATATATATATATATATATATATATATATATATATATATATATATATATATATATATATATATATATATTTATATATATATATATATATATATATATATATATATATATATATATATATATATATATATATATTTCTCCAGTTTCTCGTGCTCCTTTTTCCTGATGTTGCAATCACTTGGTATTGCTACATCTACCACAACTGCTTTGCTCTGATGTTTATCCACTACGACAATGTCTGGTTGGTTCGCCATTACCATTTTGTCTGTCTGGATCTGGAAGTCCCACAGGATCTTAGCTCTGGCATTCTCCACCACCTTTGGGGGTGTTTCCCACTTTGATCTCGGGGTTTCCAGTCCATATTCTGCACAGATGTTTCTGTACACTATGCCTGCCACTTGGTTATGTCGCTCCATGTACGCTTTCCCTGCCAGTATCTTGCACCCTGCTGTGATGTGCTGGACTGTCTCAGGGGCCTCCTTGCACAACCTACACCTTGGGTCTTGTCTGGTGTGGTAGATCTGGGCCTCTATTGCTCTGGTGTTTAGGGCCTGTTCCTGGGCGGCCAGGATGAGGGCCTCTGTGCTGTCCTTGAGTCCAGCTTTTTCCAGCCATTGGTAGGATTTACTGATATCAGCCACTTGGGTTATTTGCTGGTGGTACATCCCATGTAGGGGCTTGTCCTCCCATGATGGTATCTCTGGCACCTCAACCTCTGTTCCCTGTTGTCTGAGACATTCACTGAGCACATTGTCTGTTGAGGCTTTGTCCCTGATGTATTTATGGATCTTAGTTGTTTCGTCCTGGACAGTGGTTCTCACACTCACTAGTCCTCTGCCTCCGTCCTTGCGGCTCGTGTACAGTCTCAGGGTGCTGGATTTGGGATGGAACCCTCCATGCATGGTTAGTAGCTTTCTAGTCTTAATATCTGTGGCTTTTATCTCCTCCTTTGGCCAGCTGATTATTCCAGCAGGGTATCTGATTACTGGCAGGGCATAGCTGTTTATCGCACGGATTTTGTTCTTGCCATTGAGCTGGCTTCTCAGGACTTGCCTTATTCGTTGGAGGTATTTAGCTGTGGCTCCTTTCCTTGTGGCCTCATCGAGGTTGCCATTTGCTTGTGGTATACCTAGGTACTTGTAACTGTCCTCTATGTCTGCTATTGTTCCTTGTGGGAGTGAGACTCCTTCTGTGCGGATCACCTTCCCCCTCTTTGTGACCAGCCGACCACATTTCTCTAGTCCGAATGACATCCCAATATCCATGCTGTAGATCCTGGTGGTGTGGATCAGTGAGTCGATGTCTCGCTCATACTTGGCGTACAGCTTGATGTCATCCATGAAGAGAAGATGACTGATATTGGCCCCATTTTTCAGTCGGTATCCGTAGCCAGTCTTGTTGATAATTTGGCTGAGGGGGTTCAGGCCTATGCAGAACAGTAGCGGGGACAGAGCATCTCCTTGGTGTATGCCACATTTGATGGACACTTGTGCAAGTGGTTTGCAGTTAGCTTCAAAGGTGGTTTTCCACAGCCTCATCGAGTTTGCAAATGAAGGCTCTCAGAGTCCTGTTGACGTTATACATCTCTAAGCATTCAATGATCCAAGTATGACAAGTATTGAGTCATAGGCTTTCTTGTAATCAATCCAAGCCATGCACAGGTTGGTGTGTTGGGTTTTGCAGTCTCGGGCAACTGTGTGGTCTATGAGGAGTTGGTGTTTGGCTCCTCTACTATTTACTCCGATACCCTTCTGTGCCGTGCTCATGTGTTTCTCCATGTGTTTGTTTAATGCTATAATGCCTGACATGAGCTTCCAGGTTGTGGAGAGGCAGGTTATTGGTCGGTAGTTTAGTGGGACTGGATCCTTTGTTGGATCCTTCTGGATTAGGATTGTCCGCTCTTCAGTTAACCATTCAGGGTGAGTGGAAGTTGTAATTTACAAGATTTAATAAATGTGTCCTATATTTTTGCAACTGTTTAATCTTCCATATTCTGCCATCAATAAATCTGATATATCTCAGCATCACAGGAGTAACAGTTTTTATGACAAACGATTCTTGGTTTTGTGATCTTAAATAAATCAAAAAACAAAATCAATTCAAAGATATCTTGACAATACATTTATATCACAAACACATTCTGTATTGTTCATCACAGAAAGTTTACTTTGGTACTTGTACTTCTGGTAATTTAGCAGCTCATCATAAGGTAACAACAACAGAAAATGTAGCAGATCAGCCATCACTGCTCAACCAAGACTCTGGATTTATATAGCAGATAAATGAACACATACTTTATTGATCAAGAAGAAAATCTTGTGGCAATTTGTTGCTCCCATTCGTATAAACATTAACATGAAAAACTCACTAGGTAAAACAAGTATTAAAAACAATAACGCTGCAATAAAAGAAGAGATCATCAGGCAGTACAGGAGAATGATCAAAAGTCCTCTGAACGTCTGGGCAGAAATATCCCTTAAACAAGGAAGTAAATCCCATCTCATTATTGGGAGGAACAATAAACAGAAAAATCTCTTAAGAGCAATTTTTATAATTTTATTAAGGGGTTGGGAGTCGGCAAAGTTACAGTAAAATGTAACATAAAATGTGGTTTAAAAACTTTTCAAATCACATCCCAGCTATAGGACCAAAAATCACTAGTAATACACGTCAAACAAGTTTTTCTCAGTAAGCTAACTGTTGAGAAGTAAAATGCTTTGTGTCACTGTTAATGAGTAACTCCTCTTAAGAAAAGAGAATAGAATGGGAGAAAATCCCTGTTAGTGTATCTTCACAATGTTTTCTTAACATTTATTCAATGGTATTATCACAAATAATACAGTTTTGATATTTTATTAAAGCTTGTGGTCATTTTTATGGCTTGAACAAGCAATAGAACTTGTTCAAAGTTGAATGAGTGAGTGACTGAGTGAATATCAATAGAGCTTAAAATATGAAATTGTTTAAATATGAGAAGGATTTAAGATAAAACATAAATACGTGGATCCTTGGAGCAGAAGACTTCCCTCATTCAAGTGATTCAAAACATTTTAGAAAAAACTGAAGTGGCTCTTTGCCTGACCTTCCAGAATTAATTTACTGTACATGATGTAATGTTTGAACACTGATCAGTGGAGGAGTTTATTCCACAGCTTGGCAGATATCACTATGTGTCTGAGCTTTCTTCAGCAAGTCCTCCACTTGCACACAGATGACTTTAGTCTATTTCTGGCTTTAATTGGCACATTCGCCGGGGAGTAAAATGCTCCTCTTGTTGTGTAAAAGCCTACAGCTGTATGGGATGCTCAACAGAACGGCCTCAGCCCTGGCACAACACACAACATTGGCTTTACCAGGGAGACACAGAGATGAAAACATTATCATTTTTGCAACAGAATGTCACATAAATCAAATCCAAGATATTTTATGACTGTTTTTTTCCACATCAGCATCATCCAGCAGTATGTTTGTTTCATCAGAAACTTTCCATTAGATGAACTGGATTCGCTATCTGCCATAAAATGGACTCGACCACAGTCATGTAATAATTATGTACACATCTGTACAGAATGTGTCCAGCATGCTATTTGTCACTGACCCTGAACACTTCTGCGAGGTCAGAGGTCATGGCAGACCTTTGTGATTGATGCTAGCTTCTAATGGAACACCAAGAGCTTCGTTTGACCCAGGGAGTGACGAGTAAGTAGATCACCACCTCCCCCTGGGCCAAAACCTCCAGAGGATTCCTGATATTCTTTTGTTTCACTTACACACATCTGAGTCCAACTGCACAGGAGAACAGCAGCAGCCAACCATCCAGGAACTAATTCCTGGAATACACCACTTACTTCATGTACACACAAAGCTGACATGTTGCCTTACCATACTTATCATCCTTTTTTATCATCCTTCTGTGAAAAATCCCAATAAAATGTGAAGTTGTTTTTGTAATTTGACAAAATGTGACAAGGTCAAGTTGTATGAATATTTTTTTAACAGCATGTTTAAATGAACAGCTTTCTTGCAACAGCTACTGAAAGTAGGAGTAGATTGGTAAATGATGACAAGGAACTGCAGTGGGGGATGGGACTAAAGTATCAAAATTAATCAGATTTTCTCAGTCAAATTTAAAAGAAAAGCAAGCCATCCCTAAAATTAAGAACCACGTAAACAGATTTGTCAATAAAGACCCTGTCTTATGCCTGCACATTTAAGAAAGTTTAATTGTTAGGACCAAAAGTAATAATTATATGCTTTTTTTTAAAGATTAAATCTCATGTTATTTGAGAGATGTGGTAGATCGCAGGGCGAGTCAGATGTAAACTGAGAATGCTGGTTTGTGGTCACCAATGTTCATTCGTTATACCGTTTACAACTCTTCTTCGGCATTTACACAGAGAAGTATAATGAACTCAGCAGATGCTCAGTTCCAACAGCTGTTTGCTGATTGCTGCTGGCTAGTCTGAAGAAGTTTAGTGAAGAAGGGAGAGGGGAGCAGCTGGAAAGACCTAGATTCAGACCTGAAGAGGAGTTTTGTGGAAATATGCAGAACTTTGTGAAAGGAAGTGCTTATGTAATTCTGAATGGTTGCCATGGAAAACTCAAGAATTCCTCAAACATGCGTCAAAGAATAAAAGTAAGACTCCAGGTGTGTTTATGATGAGGGGATAACATCAGGACTTCTTATGGAGTCCTCACAACCAAGTATTTGTTGGAAAAATAAGCCTTAGATGTTATGAGCAGGTTTCACAAAACCGTTTGGGTTAAAATCAAGCGACAACTTTACAGCTCTTAATGTCCATGGTATGTCAGTGTGGTAATGAAAAGACATCACAGAATACACAACTTGTTGATGTGTGTTGCAGCAGGCCAGTCCTACCTTGCAGCCCTCACACGCACTGACTCCATAGTGATATCCAGAGGATTTGTCCTGGCAGACGAAACAGGGCTTGTAGACTCTGGGCGGAGGCGGCGGCGATGGTGGGCTGGGGACCAACTCCTCAGAACTGGTGCTCTGCGTTTCAATGGCTGCAGGGAGAGCAAACGAAAGGAGGATGAAAAGAACTCTGCTCAAATGACTAAATAACTCAGTTAGGGTTCTAGAAACCAAAAACGAACCTTTTCATTTTCAACCTGAAGGCAAAACAAAACTTTTTTGACAAAATTTCTTCTTCTTATACAACACAATTGGAATGAAAAATAAATTCTCTGTGAAATATTTTAGAAAATGTGTCGTGCAGCACTTGTTAGGACATCTTTACAGTTCATCTGTGGATTGACTACATTGCTCAAGTGTGCTCTTGTCCCGGTAAATTGTATTTTTTTATGTGAAGACATGAAAAAGGCTGTTATGCTTTCTCGAGTGTTAGTAGTTCTACTCCACTGAAGTGTACAGTTATGGGACTTGGAATAGTCTAAGCACTAAAACTAACTTGTAGCTTTCAAGTTATTTTATTTCTGAAACAATACTAGTGGGCACATCAGGACCACATGATTTCATGTATGGACTTTTGAATATCTCCTACATGCCACCACATCTAAATAAATAAATTTCTTATGGTTGATTTGATCATCTTTAAAGAATAGCAGTGAAAATGTTCTGAAATCGGTTTCAATATTTCTTCAAACTACCCTGACCTAAAGTATCACTTAGTTAGAGAGTATTTGTTAAAACTGTCACTGTGTCAAGAAAATCAAAGATCACGCTGTCAATCAAGGTTGTGCACCCCAGGCCCTCTCTCTCTTACTCACTGCTATGCTACAGTGTCTTCCTAACAAATACTTAGGCTAGACAGAATAGTAACTGATGATGGTGGATGAACAGTTTTCCTGTTTCCCGGCCTTAAGCAACACGTACACTATGACTACGACCTTCCTCCTAGCTCTGACCGGGAGCGATGCGTTTCTTCAGACAGGACTGGGAGCACAGGGAGGAGGTGGAGGACTCAATCTTTTAGATTACTGGTCTCATAACATACTGTCATAATGTCAGTTTAACAAAAATATGGAACAATATATATATATATTTTAGTAAAGCTACATACAGCACCTTTACTAAAATCAGGCTCTAGCAGGAGCTCTGGTTGAATGCTGGAACTTCTTTAGCAGGAACACCCTGCTAAAGTTATTGAAAGCAACAATAATTCTATTGTTGTTTTCATCAAAATCTCTTTGAGAAAGTTTTCTTTACATTTTTATGTGAACAGATGTCAGCATATAGTTTCTGAGTGTAAACAGACATTACATAAATAGTATCAGTCAACCAAGTTTATATGTGTATCTTATTTAATCGAGAAAGAAGTTCAAAATGCTTTAATCATAAAAACACAAAATGCAGTCATCCAACACACAACCAACAACTTATTACTGAATCTAAACAAGGAGAGGACTCTGTGCTGCATGTACAGTCTGACACCAAGCCCAGTGAATAAAGCAGATTGAAGTAAATTTATAATTAGCACTAAAAATTTGTAGAGATCTCTCCATTCAAACGCAACCTTTCAGTCTTCCAAGCACCTCTGAATAAATTACATTCTTCCATACTTCCGAGTGAACCCAGTCACTGATGATAAGGAAGAAACTTTTAGAATTAGTGCATATTTTTCCCAACATGGACTCATCTGTTAATATAACCTGATCTCCACCAGCATTCACTCTGTGTGTGTCAAATGTACAACTTTGGAACAAGTGAAGCTCTAAAAAGTCAGCAGCGTATCAGTGTAACTGTGAGTCTAAATTCTGTCCTATGGTAAAATACTGAGAAGTAAGTTAACTACTGTGGTTAAATGGAGTGAAATGACACCTAAGTCTTTCTTAACACTTGCTTTGAGAGAAGTTGGAGCTGCAGGGTCAGATTGATGACATTTTTCTGAAGCAGTTGCAGAAAAAACAAAGTGTTTTAGCAGACTTTCAGAAAACAGACACAGTGGAGAGAAGAATTTTACAAATTTGCTGCTCTGAGTGATACAGAGCAGCAAATTTGTGATACAAACCTGAGAATAAATATTTTCAGAATTACATAATGGGCATAATACATTGTTTCAAAAACTGTCCTGTGACATTCAGATGAAAACAGACTGATGTTAGTTTACTGTCACATATGGGCCGTGCATTCACCCTCTGTATGCCAGGATTAAATGATTATCATCAATGTTATTTTTAATAATAAGCCATTTGATGATTGGTAATAGCCAAAAAGCAGCTAAAGACAACACAAGTGAATACTGCCTAACAATGTTCAGCTAGCTAAAACACGTGAGCACCAGAGGAATGGTCCAAAAACCTTGTTGATGTCAGTGAACAGAACAAAATGGATGAACTTGTTCCCAATGGTAGAAAGGCACTATTCAACTAGATCAAGTAACTGCCAGGCTATGCAGAATAACATCTCTGACTTCACTGCATGCAGGGCCTTTAACCTCAATACCATACCAGGTACAAATTATGTCAGTTAAGAACAGGAGATTGAGGCAAGAATTCACATAAACTCCTAGAACTAACAATCAGGATGCATTCACACAGCCCTGTTTGGTCCGCTATAAACAATCTATAATAGTCTGGTTTGCTTGAGGAGGTGTGAATGCATAATAAAAGTCTGATTCTGATACTGAACTGATACTCCATATGTGAACGCCAAGCAGACTGGAGACTTCTGAGGTTTGAGACTTCTGGATCATTTCCTTCAGTGGTGACCACAGGCGAGAGGGAAGCAGGTTTTTCAAAGGGTTTAGTTTGTTTGACACAGTGCAGTATGAAAACAAACCCCAGCAGCTGAAAATTTAACAAAAGTTGCAATTTTGGTTGCCAGTTGAACCTAGTCTGCTGGAATATCAGGCGGAAAACATCCTTAAGATTGTTAAAAGGTAGACCTATTCTAATGAATCTCTATTTCAACTGTAACATCCAGATGGGGTACACAATGAAAAATCGTGAATCCATTCTGCATCAACAGTCCAGGCCGCTGTTGGTGGTGTTCTGATCTGGAGAAACTTAAGAAGTCTGCAGAGCTTTACCATATTCTGACTGGCTGACAGAAAAACAGCCATTCAGACCTTCCACCCAGTCAACCACAAAGTATACAGTTAGGGCCAGAAATATTTGGACAGTAACACAATTTTCGTGAGTTGGGCTCTGCATGCCACCGCATTGGATTTGAAATGAAACCGCTACAACAAAATTCAAGTGCAGATTGTAACGTTTAATTTAAAGGGTTGAACAAAAATATCTGATAGAAAATGTAGGAATTGTACACATTTGTTTTACAAACACTCCACATTTTAGGAGCTCAAAAGTAATTGGACATATAAACATAACCCAAACAAAAAAGTTTTTCTCAATATTTTGTTGCGAATCCTTTGGAGGCAATCACTGCCTTAAGTCTGGAACCCATGGACATCACCAAACGCTGGGTTTCCTCCTTCTTACTGCTTTGCCAGGCCTTTACAGCCGCAGCCTTCAGGTCTTGCTTGTTAGTGGGTCTTTCCGTCTGAAGTCTGGATTTGAGCAAGTGAAATGCATGCTCAATTGGGTTAAGATCTGGTGATTGACTTGGCCATTGCAGAATATCCCACCTTTTTGCTCTCATGAACTCCTGGGTAGCTTTGGCTGTATGCTTGGGGTCATTATCCATCTGTACTGTGAAGCGCCGTCCGATCAACTTTGCAGCATTTGGCTGAATCTGGGCTGACAGTATATCCCGGTACACTTCAGAATTCATCCGGCTACTCTTGTCTGCTGTTATGTCATCAATAAACACAAGTGACCCAGTGCCATTGAAAGCCATGCATGCCCATGCCATCACGTTGCCTCCACCATGTTTTACAGAGGATGTGGTGTGCCTTGGATCATGTGCCGTTCCCTTTCTTCTCCAAACTTTTTTCTTCCCATCATTCTGGTACAGGTTGATCTTTGTCTCATCTGTCCATAGAATACTTTTCCAGAACTGGGCTGGCTTCTTGAGGTGTTTTTGGGCAAATTTAACTCTGGCCTGTCTATTTTTGGAATTGATGAATGGTTTGCATCTACATGTGAACCCTTTGTATTTGCTTTCATGGAGTCTTCTCTTTACTGTTGACTTAGAGACAGATACACCTACTTCCCTGAGAGTGTTCTGGACTTCAGTTGATGTTGTGAACGGGTTCTTCTTCACCAAAGAAAGTATGTGGTGATCATCCACCACCGTTGTCTTCCGTGGACGCCCAGGCCTTTTTGAGTTCCCAAGCTCACCAGTCAATTCCTTTTTCCTCAGAATGTACCAGACTGTTGATTTTGCTACTCCAAGCATGTCTGCTATCTCTCTGATGGATTTTTTCTTTTTTTTCAGCCTCAGGATGTTCTGCTTCACGTCAATGAGAGTTCCTTTGACCGCATGTTGTCTGGTCACAGCAACAGCTTCCAAATGCAAAACCACACCTGGAAACAACCCCAGACCTTTTAACTACTTACTTGATTACAGGTTAACGAGGAAAGGCCTTCTGAGTTACTTGCAGCCTTTAGAGTCCATTGTCCAATTACTTTTGGTCCCTAGAAAAAGAGGAGGCTCTGCATTACAGAGCTATGATTCCTGAACCCTTTCTCCGATTTGGATGTGGAAACTCTCATATTGCAGCTGGGAGTGTGCACTTTCAGCCCATACTATATATAAATTGTATTTCTGAACATATTTTTGTCAACAGCTAAAATAACAAAACCTGTGTCACTGTCCAAATATTTCTGGCCCTAACTGTAGCTACATAAAAAATAGCAGTGTTTCCCAATCCTGGTACTCAAGGCACACTGCCCTGTACGTTTTAAATGTTTCCCTGCTTTAGCACATCTGATTTCAACTGATGGCTGACAATGAACTGTACTTTTACTGAACCAACCACTGCGTCCCTCCTGCCATGCTGAAGTCTTGCCTGCACTAAAATCTGAGAGTAGGCCTTGCATATTCACAGCTCGAGTAACTAATGTACAACCCTCTAGGTCTGAGTGTCTACTTTGACCAGCTGACACCAAACTTCTCTCAGATCTTCAACTTTGCTCTGGAA